TTCCTACAATGTCCACAGCCAATCCATCTGGTATCTGGACGTTTTGGCGAAACAGTACCTCAAACATGGAGCCATTCATGAAAGAACGAGAAATGGTCTTCCTTGTCACATCCGTCCAGTATACTCTATCCTCTAAAACGTCGTAGCCAATGGCCACCGGGCGTTTGATACTGCTTGAAAACGGTAGAGCGGTGAGTGATCCGGGAGCATGAGGAGAAACTTTCATAATTTTTCCGTATGAAGCATCAGCGAACAGAAGAAACTCACTCGGCTCAGGAGAAGCTTTGTATAAAAGAGATCGGGAAAAAGAAATTGATTTCATAAAGATGGAGGCCAGTGTTTTACGTCTGCTTTTCAACTCGGCTTTGATTAATATGTAGGTTGGGTCTAATTAACTCTTTTTATTGGAGAGATTTGACCTGATTTTTTTTTTTCAGAGAAGAAATTAAAATTTGAGTGGAAATAAGACTCTTTTGATTAAATTGATAAATGGAATTTGATTTTATATTGAAGTTCCTTAATCAATTGTGACTTCTATCAATAAAACTCATCAAGGAATGTCATAATTTAACCAGACTGCCGAACGATGACATATTCAATGCTATTGTACGTGGGACAAAGGAGGCATCTCTTTATCGGTAGAGTATTTATCTTGTTATAGTTTGAGTGACGTTATATCACCTAGCATTTTAAAAAGATGAAAGAATCAGTTCGTGGTCTCCAGTGATCGACGGATGGGTCTGTTTCCTAGAAGAGTGGGAAGCTGGTGGAAATTGTTCTGTTGTTGAAATTCCACACAGGAAAAGTCATGCCTCCCTGGTCGTAATTCATCATACCTTTACAAGTTCTTCCGTCATCATTTAGAATGAGGCCTCCTGAACAAGTGCACGCTCTTCCAGATGGTGTAAGCAAACAAAGTTGACTACATCCGCCATTATTGTAGTTGCACTGGTCTGTGACTATAAATGGATAGAGCAAGACACATAAAAAAAAGCAAGTACAATTCACCATTACTAAAAACATGCCGTCAATAGTGAAAGCACGCAATGAGTCAATAATTTCCAAGTAAGTCGTGGAAAGTAAATGTCTAAACGTGAAGATGAATGTGAAATCAAATTAGTATTTGTAATTAGAGTCCAAGGAATGGCACTCGTAAACTGCACAGGTGCCGAGTTAGCTTTGCAAAAAAATAAAGGGTTATAAAGGGTTATGGTGTCAAAAATATCTTTTAAGGCTTTTTTTTTTAAATACAGTGTGAATATATTTTTGTTATCGCGATGATGTTATATTAGTTTCAGTTTTAAATTATTTATTTGCCAAAAAGAAGTCGACATAATAAAACAGAAAAAATGTCTGAGTTCTCTGCATGATGTTTAGCAACTCAAAAGCTTTGATTGTGGTAGCAAATCAAAAGGATCACCTATCTGCTTCTAATGTAATTTATCTCGTTTCCGTCTTTTTATGCTTAATAAACGGTGGTAATACACAGTTTCTTAACATTTGCTAACGTCTGACTTATTATCGCTGTATATCTTTTGCACTGGAAATTCCGCTTCAAGGAAGTATCAACAACATAAAGTTTTTTTTTTTTTGGAGAAAACGCCTTCTCTTTACCTGGTGTGTGGTTTTTCACTGAGATTATATCCATGTATGTCCATAGGCTTCCCAGTACCTGTGACAAATACACTGACATCTGCACTGTTTTTATTGGCTCTATAAACAGCGTAATTTTTCCAGTCAGTCCAGTACAAGTAATCTCCAAGAAGTGTTAACCCGAAGGGATGAGGCAGGGTTGCTGAAGAAGATATTAAGGTCACCCTCATGTTCGTACTCAGGTGTAAGTATTCCAGCTTGTAAAATCTGGCATCCACCCAATACAAACGGTTTTTGTCTGTGTCAAGCGTTAGACCGTTTGGCCACGACAGACGTGAGTTTACGAGAACAACCCGCTGCTTTCCTGACATGTCCGCCCTTTCAATCTTTGGGTGGTAACCCCAATCAGTCCAATACATGATTCTATCAAATGCAAAATAAGTAACACTGTAAGGATTTTCGCCTACCTTCTAGACCTTACAACCTCTCTCGGTCATTTGATGTCGTTTTTTTTATTTATAAAATCACTCTTGGTATTTGCAATGCAACCTGACGACGTTGCGTCCACTTTTATAGTGACAAACACTTAACCCTCAGGGTGAATTATTCATACGGGGTTTGGAGGGGGCCCCTATGAATTCAAAACCGCTCATATTACGGCCACCAAAATTGCACATAATAATGTATTTCTCATTTTCAACTTCTAGGAATGACATAATTGACAGAATAACGTAATTTGAGGTCATTATGACATCCTTATGTTGAATTTATTGGTAGAATCCACATGCCATCAATTATTCCCTTCAAAGCGAAAAAAACTTAAATAGTAAGGTGTACGACAAAATTAGTTAGCTAACGCATTAATGACCTATAACCACAGCAGTGATGTCATGATGACGTCATTTATCTTTGAAGAAGGAACTGGAACCGCCCGCTATCATGGATCGTCCATTTTGAATTTATATAAATGTATTCAATTTTACTTCAAAGCCGAAGAAATCGAGGTAATCGTTATGGAGAAATTGATCTGTGTATAACAGAATGTTTATGAATTGAGAAAAAGCGAAAAATATTTTCCAGCAACTGCCATTTGGCCGTTTTAAATTCATGTTTTTTTTCCCAAATCAGTCACTAAAAAGCCTGGATTACAGTAGCATTCATATTCAATTGGATATAATATTGCTAAATTAAGTGAAAAGCTATAATTTAATGATTAACTGGAAAATAAACCTTTGTGTAGGAAAAAAGCAAATTCAAAACAATAGTTGTCAAAGTTCGGTTGCCATAATTATGTCAATGTTAAAAACACGGCAAGACGACTTTTACAATGTTCCCAGATACTTTTAGGCAAAGTCACCAAGTCTATTAGCCATAGCTTAAAAAGCTTTGAAGTCATTCAACCTTTAAGCAAAGAAAAGCTCAAAAACCACCCCCGTCTGAGTACCGTTAAATAATATTTAGTTCTTAGCCCTGTTCGGCGCAAACGTTTATAATCAATGTCATTATGCCCAGAGATAAAACACCTTGAACAATTTTTGAACCAGTATTGAATTATTCTTCACTAAAATGTGACAGCTACCCATCTTTCGTTGCCTCTGTCGTGAGCAGTTTTATATATATTCCAGTCGACTTATTAGTAAGTTTTGTTGCTTTTTATACCTATTTAAACTACTGACCCCTTACTAACATCCAGTATAATATCCCTCGGTTCGCCTAGGCCACTTGCTATGAGAGCTCTACGATAGGAACCGTCTAGTTTAGATACTTCCAGCTTGTCACTTCCTGTATCAGTCCAGTAGAGATTCCTTCCTACAATGTCCACAGCCAATCCATCTGGTATCTGAACGTTTTGGTGAAACAGTACCTCAAACATAGAGCCATTCATGAATGAACGAGAAATGGTCTTCCTTGTCACATCCGTCCAGTATACTCTATCCTCTAAAACGTCGTAGCCAATGGCCACCGGGCGTTTGATACTGCTTGACAACGGTAGAGCGGTGAGTGATCCGGGAGCATGAGGAGAAACTTTCATAATTTTTCCGTATGAAGCATCAGCGAACAGAAGAAACTCACTCGGGTCAGGAGGAGCTTTGTATTAAAAAATCGGGAAAAAGAAATTGATTTCATAAAGATGGGGGCCATTGTTTTACGTCTGCTTTTGAACTCGGCTTTGATTAATATGTAGGTTTGGTCTAATTTACTCTTTTTATTGGAGAGATTTCATTTGATTTTTTTTTTTCAGAAAAGAAATTAAAATTTGAGTGGAAATAAGACTCTTTTCAATAAATTTACTTAATCAATTGGGGCTTCTATCAATAATACTCATCAAGAAATGTCATAATTAACGAGATTGCCGAACCATTACATATTCAATGCTATTGTACGTGGGACACATGAGGCATCTCTTTATCGGCAGTCTCTTTATCTTGTTTTGGTTTGAGTGACGTTATATCATCTAGCATTTAAAAGGATGAAAGAATTAGTGCGTGGTCGGGTTTGGAATCAATTTATTGTGATTCTAAGTCTCCACTGATCAACGGATGGGTCTGTTTCCTAGAAGAGTGGGAAGCTGGTGGAAATTGTTCTGTTGTTGAAATTCCACACAGGAAAAGTCATGCCTCCCTGGTCGTAATTCATCATACCTTTACAAGTTCTTCCGTCATCATCTAGAATGAGGCCTCCTGAACAAGTGCACGCTCTTCCAGATGGTGTAAGCGAACAAAGTTGACTACAACCGCCATTATTGTATTTGCACTGGTCTGTGACTGTAAATGGATAGAGCAAGACATAAATAAAAGCAAGTAGAATTGAACCATTACTAAAAACATGCCGTCAATAGTGAAAGCACGCAATGAGCCAATAATTTGCAAGTAAGTTGAGGAAAGTAAATGTCTAAACGTGAAGATGAATGTGAAATCAAATTAGTATTTGTAATTAGAGTCCAAGGAATGGCACTCGTAAACTGCACCGGTGCCGAATTACCTTTGCAAAAAAATAAAGGGTTATAAAGGGTTATGGTGTCAAAAATATCTTTTAAGGCTTTTTTTTTTAAATACAGTGTGAATATATTTTTGTTATCGCGATGATGTTATATTAGTTTCAGTTTTAAATTATTTATTTGCCAAAAAGAAGTCGACATAATAAAACAGAAAAAATGTCTGAGTTCTCTGCATGATGTTTAGCAACTCAAAAGCTTTGATTGTGGTAGCAAATCAAAAGGATCACCTATCTGCTTCTAATGTAATTTATCTCGTTTCCGTCTTTTTATGCTTAATAAACGGTGGTCATACACAGTTTCTTAACATTTGCTAACGTCTGACTTATTATCGCTGTATATCTTTTTGCACTGGAAATTCCGCTTCAAGGAAGTATCAACAACATAAAAGTTTTTTTTTTGGAGAAAACGCCTTCTCTTTACCTGGTGTGGTTTTTTCACTGAGATTATATCCATGTATGTCCATAGGCTTCCCAGTACCTGTGACAAATACACTGACATCTGCACTGTTTTTATTGGCTCTATAAACAGCGTAATTTTTCCAGTCAGTCCAGTACAAGTAATCTCCAAGAAGTGTTAACCCGAAGGGATGAGGCAGGGTTGCTGAAGAAGATATTAAGGTCACCCTCATGTTCGTACTCAGGTGTAAGTATTCCAGCTTGTAAAATCTGGCATCCACCCAATACAAACGGTTTTTGTCTGTGTCAAGCGTTAGACCGTTTGGCCACGACAGACGTGAGTTTACGAGAACAACCCGCTGCTTTCCTGACATGTCCGCCCTTTCAATCTTTGGGTGGTAACCCCAATCAGTCCAATACATGATTCTATCAAATGCAAAATAAGTAACACTGTAAGGATTTTCGCCTACCTTCTAGACCTTACAACCTCTCTCGGTCATTTGATGTCGTTTTTTTTATTTATAAAATCACTCTTGGTATTTGCAATGCAACCTGACGACGTTGCGTCCACTTTTATAGTGACAAACACTTAACCCTCAGGGTGAATTATTCATACGGGGTTTGGAGGGGGCCCCTATGAATTCAAAACCGCTCATATTACGGCCACCAAAATTGCACATAATAATGTATTTCTCATTTTCAACTTCTAGGAATGACATAATTGACAGAATAACGTAATTTGAGGTCATTATGACATCCTTATGTTGAATTTATTGGTAGAATCCACATGCCATCAATTATTCCCTTCAAAGCGAAAAAAACTTAAATAGTAAGGTGTACGACAAAATAAGTTAGCTAACGCATTAATGACCTATAACCACAGCAGTGAGGTCATGATGACGTCATTTATCTTTGAAGAAGGAACTGGAACCGCCCGCTATCATGGATCGTCCATTTTGAATTTATATAAATGTATTCAATTTTACTTCAAAGCCGAAGAAATCGAGGTAATCGTTATGGAGAAATTGATCTGTGTATAACAGAATGTTTATGAATTGAGAAAAAGCGAAAAATATTTTCCAGCAACTGCCATTTGGCCGTTTTAAATTCATGTTTCTTTTCCCAAATCAGTCACTAAAAAGCCTGGATTACACTAGCATTCATATTCAATTGGATATAATATTGCTAAATTAAGTGAAGAGCTATATTCAAAGATTAACTGGAAAATAAACCTTTGTGTAGGAAAAAAGCAAATTCAAAACAATAGTTGTCAAAGTTCGGTTGCCATAATTATGTCAATGTTAAAAAACACGGCAAGACGACTTTTTACAATGTTCCCAGATACTTTTAGGCAAAGTCACCAAGTCTATTAGCCATAGCTTAAAAAGCTTTGAAGTCATTCAACCTTTAAGCAAAGAAAAGCTCAAAAACCACCCCCGTCTGAGTACCGTTAAATAATATTTAGTTCTTAGCCCTGTTCGGCGCAAACGTTTATAATCAATGTCATTATGCCCAGAGATAAAACACCTTGAACAATTTTTGAACCAGTATTGAATTATTCTTCACTAAAATGTGACAGCTACCCATCTTTCGTTGCCTCTGTCGTGAGCAGTTATATATATATTCCAGTCGACTTATTAGTAAGTTTTGTTGCTTTTTATACCTATTTAAACTACTGACCCCTTACTAACATCCAGTATAATATCCCTCGGTTCGCCTAGGCCACTTGCTATGAGAGCTCTACGATAGGAACCGTCTAGTTTAGATACTTCCAGCTTGTCACTTCCTGTATCAGTCCAGTAGAGATTCCTTCCTACAATGTCCACAGCCAATCCATCTGGTATCTGAACGTTTTGGTGAAACAGTACCTCAAACATAGAGCCATTCATGAATGAACGAGAAATGGTCTTCCTTGTCACATCCGTCCAGTATACTCTATCCTCTAAAACGTCGTAGCCAATGGCCACCGGGCGTTTGATACTGCTTGACAACGGTAGAGCGGTGAGTGATCCGGGAGCATGAGGAGAAACTTTCATAATTTTTCCGTATGAAGCATCAGCGAACAGAAGAAACTCACTCGGGTCAGGAGGAGCTTTGTATTAAAAAATCGGGAAAAAGAAATTGATTTCATAAAGATGGGGGCCATTGTTTTACGTCTGCTTTTGAACTCGGCTTTGATTAATATGTAGGTTTGGTCTAATTTACTCTTTTTATTGGAGAGATTTGACCTGATTTTTTTTTTCAGAAAAGAAATTAAAATTTGAGTGGAAATAAGACTCTTTTCAATAAATTTACTTAATCAATTGGGGCTTCTATCAATAATACTCATCAAGAAATGTCATAATTAACGAGATTGCCGAACCATTACATATTCAATGCTACTGTACGTGGGACACATGAGGCATCTCTTTATCGGCAGTCTCTTTATCTTGTTTTGGTTTGAGTGACGTTATATCATCTAGCATTTAAAAGGATGAAAGAATCAGTGCGTGGTCGGGTTTGGAATCAATTTATTGTGATTGTAAGTCTCCACTGATCGACGGATGGGTCTGTTTCCTAGAAGAGTGGGAAGCTGGTGGAAGTTGTTTTGTTCTTGAAATTCCACACAGGAAAGGTCACGCCTCCCTGGTCGGAATTCATCATACCTTTACAAGTTCTTCCGTCATCATCTAGAATGAGGCCTCCTGAACAAGTGCACGCTCTTCCAGATTGTGTAAGCAAACAAAGTTGACTACATCCGCCATTATTGTAGTTGCACTGGTCTGTGACTGTAAATGGATAGAGCAAGACACAGAAATAAAAGCAAGTTCAATTGAAACATTACTTAAAACATGCCGTTAATAGTGAAAGCACGCAATGAGCCAATAATTTCCAAGTAAGTCGTAGAAACTAAATGTCTAAACGTGAAGATGAATATGAAATCACATTCGGTATTTATAATTAGAGTCCAAGGAATGGCACTCGTAAGCTCCGCTGGTGCCGAATTACCTTTGCAACGAATAAAGGGTTGTGATGTCTAAAATATGTTTTAAGGCTTTCTTCTAAATGCGATATCAGTATATTTTTGTCAATTTATCGCAATGATGTTTTATTAGTTTTAGTTTATTTATTCGCCAAAAAGAAGTCGACATAATGAAAAACAAAAAATGTCTGAGTTCTCTGCAGGATGCTTAGCAAATCAAAGGCTTTGAATGTGGTAGCAAATCAAAGGCTTTGAATGTGGTAGCAAATCAAAAGGATCACCTATCTGCTTCTAATGTAAATTTTATCGTTTCAAGCTTTCTATGCTTAATAAACGGTGGTCATACACATTTTCTAAACATTTGCTAGCGTCTGAGTTATTATCGCTACAATTTTTTTTTACACTAAAAATTTCGCTTCAAGAAAGTATCAACAACATAAACCTTTTTTTTTTTTTTTGTAGAAAACGCCTTCTCTTTACCTGGTGTGGTTTTTTCACTGAGATTGTATCCATGTATGTCCATAGGCTTCCCAATACCTGTGACAAATACACTGACATCTGCACTGTTTTTGTTGGCTCTATAAACAGCGTAATTTCTCCAGTCAGTCCAGTACAAGTAATCTCCAAGAAGTGTTAACCCGAAAGGATGAGGCAGGGTTGCTGAAGAAGATATTAAGGTTACCCTCATGTTCGTACTCAGGTTTAAGTATTCCAGCTTGTCAAATCTGGCATCCACCCAATACAAACGGTTTTTGTCTGTGTCAAGCGTTAGACCGTTAGGCCACGACAGACGTGAGTTTACGAGAACAACCCGCTGCTTTCCTGACATGTCCGCCATTTCAATCTTTGGGTGGTAACCCCAATCAGTCCAATACATGATTCTATCAAATGCAAAATAAGTAGCACTGTAAAGATTTTCTCCTATCTTCTAGACCTTACAACCCTTTTTGGTCATTTGATGTCGTTTTCTTTTTTTTTTTTTTCATAAAATCACTCTCGCTTTTTGCAATGCATCCTGACGACGTTGCGTCCACTTTTATAGTGACAAACACTTAACCCGGGTGAATTATTCATACGGGGTTTGGAGGGGACCCTATGACTTCAAAACCGCACATATTATGGCCACCAAAATTGCACATAATAATGTATTTATCATTTTCAACTTTTAGGAAAGACATGATTGACAGAATTACGTAATTTGACGTCATTATGACGTCCTTATGTTGAGTTTGTTGGTAGAATTCAAATGCCATCAATTACTCCCTTCAAAGCGAAAAAAACTTAAATAGTAAGGTGTACGACAAAATTAGTTAGCTAACGCATTAATGACCTATAACCACAGCAGTGATGTCATGATGACGTCATTTATCTTTGAAGAAGGAACTGGAACCGCCCGCTATCATGGGTCCTCCATTTTGAAAAGATATAAATGTATCCAATTTTACTTCAAACCCGAACAAATCGAGGTAATCGGTACGGAAAAAATTGATCTATAACAAAATGTTTATCAAGCGAAAAATATTTTCCAGCAACTGCCATTTGGCCGTTTTAAATTCATGTTTTTTTTCCCAAATCAGTCACTAAAAAGCCTGGATTACACTAGCATTCATATTAAATTGGACATAATATTGCTAAATTAATTGAAAAGCTATAATTCAATGATTAACTGGAAAATAACCCTTTTTGTAGGAGAAAAGCAAATTGAAAACAATGGCTGCCAAAACTCGGTTCCCATAGTTATATCAATGTTGACATACACGGCACGGCGACTTTTTAAAATGTTCCCAGCTACTTTTAGGCAAAGTCACCAGGTTTATTGACCAGAGCCTAAAAAGCTTTGAAGTTATTCAACTTTTTAGCAAAGGAGAGCTCAAAAGCCACCCCCGTCTGAGTGCCGTTAAATCATGTTTAGTTCTTAGCCCTGTTCGGTCCAAACGTTTACAATCAATGTCATTATGCCCAGAAATATAACACCTTGAACAACTTTTGAACTAGTATTGAATTATTCTTTACTAAAATGCGACAGCTACCCATCTTTCGTTGCCTCTGTTGTGAGCAGTTTTATATATATTCTAGTCAGTAGCAAAGCGAAAAAAACTTTTAAGGTGTACGACAAAATTAGTTAGCTAACGCATTCATGACATATAACCACAGCAGTGATGTAATAATGACTTCGTTTATCTTTTAAGAAGGAACTGGAACGGCCCGCTGTATTGTATCGATACTATTGTCTACCGGAAGTTGTGTTAGCAGAAGTTCTCGGTTACTGTAAACGTGCAAAGGATCATGGATATTTGTGTGGGCCATGCTTTCCGGGTGTCATGGCGGCCGAATAAAGTGTAGTTTCTTTCATAGTTAAATCTGGTTTATTACACGGCCATCCGGGCGTCATTGTTACATTGGCGACGAGGATTCAATTCGTTTTGCGAGGTAGCGGATGTTTTGGAAGTCATTTGTGCGTAAAGTCCTAGTATTTTGTCAGGAAGATGACGGAAAGTGGAACCACTTCGAGTAAAACTTCAAGTTCACAAGCTTCGCCAACCGCGACGTTTGTTCCTCTTCTTGATGTGGTCAGCCTTCCTCCCTTCAATCCAAAGGAAGATCCGAACACCCTTGCAGTTCGCTGGAAGTTGTGGAAATGCTCGTTCAATCTGTATTTGGTGGCAAAAGGGATTACGAAAGATGAACAGAAAACCGCATTGCTGTTGCATACTTTATTACACGTTATTGACCGGTACGGATATCAAGCCGTTCGCTGAGAGTATGGAGTTGTTGGATAACTATTTTGCACCGCAGTTGAACGTTCCATTCGAAAGGCATCAGTTTAGGCAAATGGAGCAAGCGTCAGGAGAATCGGTGGATCAGTTTGTTTGTCGGTTGAGGCAGAAAGCGATCTTCTGCGAGTTTGAAAATGTTGATGAGGCAATAAGGGATCACCTTATTGAGAGATGCAGGGACCCCAGACTTCGCCGTAAGTTCCTTGAGAAAACAAATGCTACTCTGAAGGATTTACAAGATTTGGCTCGTGTGCAGGAAGCAGTGAACATGCAGGTCAAGGCTATGGATCAGTCATCCAGTCAGGTGAATGCTGCTTCCAGCAAACCTCACGGCAAAGGAAAAGGAAAAGGGACAGCGCAGGGTAGAAACAGGGGAAATAAGCCTGGTAAACCGTCTGGTGGTTCTCAGGAGACAAAAGTGAGAGGCTGTTTTCGCTGTAATTACACTGACCATATGGCACGTGACCCGAATTGTCTTGCCCGTAGCAAGAAATGTGATGCATGCGGCGAGATTGGACATTTTGCAGTCTGTTGCAAAACAAAGGAACGCAAACCTCTTACAAGAGATGACGAGGCAAGGAATAATACACGGGGTAGAGCCTATCAACTATCAGAGGATTCAGCCCCTGGCCAACAAGATTATTATGCATTTACAGTTGGAGTCGGTCAGCCTACATGTGGTAGTGAAGTTGATTTGAAGGTTGGAGGAGTGACGTTACCAGCGGTACTTATTGATTCTGGAGCGTGATTGACCAAGCAACCTAGGAAGTTTTGAAGAAGAAGAGTGTCCAGTGTGAGTCCAAGAAATCAAGCAAAAAGTTGTTTGCTTATGGACAGAAACATCCTATTGAGGTGATTGGGACATTTGTGTCTGAGATTGTGTGCGAGATCAGTGGCAACAGTTGTGTCGACGAATTCACGGTGGTTAAAGGTCCAGGAAGATCTCTACTCGGAAAGAACACTGCAGAGAAGTTGGGCGTATTAAGGGTTGGTCCAGATGTGTGTTCATTAACTGTTGAAGGAAGTGATGCCGACATCCATGAGAAGTATAGAGAAGTTTTTACAGGGGTTGGAAAGCTGAAGGATTTTCAGCTGAAATTACATATAAAAGATGATGTCACGCCGGTTGCACAACCCGTACGGAGACTGCCATTTGGGTTAAGAGCCAAGGTTGACGAGATGTTGGATGAGCTGTTAGCCAACGACATCATCGAGGAGGTGTCACACAACCCGACTGAGTGGGTGGCGCCGTTGGTTGTTGTCCCGAAGACAGACGGTGACGTTCGGATTTGCGTGGACATGCGCAGGGCGAATTCAGCAATAGAGAGGGAAAGACACCCCATCCCTACAATTGAGGAAGTCTTGTACGACCTTAATAGCTTAACTGTCTTAAAGTTCGATCTCAAGTGGGGCTTCCACCAGGTGGAATTGGATGAAAAATCGCGCGAGATCACGACGTTTGTTACACACCGTAGTTTGTACAGGTACAGACGTTTGATGTTCGGGGTAACATCGGCGCCTGAAAAGTACCAGAAAATTGTGGCGGATGTTTTCCATGGTTGCGAGGGAGTGGCTAATTTGGCAGATGATTTGATTGTGCATGGTTGTGGCATAAAGGAACACGACAGGAATTTGCATGCTGTACTGACCCGATTGAAAGAGAAAGGACTAACCTTGAATGGGGACAAATGCCAGTTTCGTCTTCCCAAGCTTACATTCTTCGGTCATGATCTGAGCAGGCAAGGTGTTGCGCCCAGTGAAGAGAAAGTAGCTGCCATCTTGAATGCAAGCCCTCCACAAGATGCTTCACAGGTCAGAGATCATTTGTTCAGCTTGTACAGTATTCTGCAAAGTTTCTTCCCAACTTCGCGCAAGAAGCAGAACCACTCTGGAGCCTCCTGAGGAAGAATGAGCCTTTCATCTGGGGTGAAGCACAGGAAAGGTCATTCCAGAAGTTGAAGCAGCTAGTTGCACAGGCCACTACGCTTGCATATTTCATAGGAGACTGTAACACGCGTATTATTGCCGATGCAGGTCCACAGGGTTTAGGTGCAGTGCTGACTCAACTTCAAGACGGCGAGTGGCGAGCAATCTCGTACGCGTCTAGAAACCTCACTGAAGTGGAGCGGAGATACAGCCAGACCGAGAAAGAGGCCCTTGCCCTAGTATGGGCTTGTGAGAGGTTCAACATTTATGTGTACGGGCGCAAATTTGAACTTGAAACTGATCACAAGCCACTCGAGTGTATTTTTGGCAGGCTTTCAAAACCATCAGCACGTATCGAACGTTGGGTTCTGAGGTTGCAGGGGTATGATTACAGAGTTGTTTATCGGCCTGGCGAAGCGAATATCGCAGACTCTCTCTCAAGACTCAATCAATGTAACCCTAAAGACACAAGTGGGTAGGAATTTGACTTTGTCAAGGCAGTCGCTGAGGAAAGCTTACCTGTTGCCCTGACAGCGAAACAAGTCGAATTGGTTTCTGATAGTGACCCAGAAATTGCTAGCCTGAGACAGTACATTTTAAGTGGGGACTGGTCTCAATGTAGGATGACAGCTTATGTGTGTGTCAAGGATGAATTGTGTGTGTTAGGCAAACTTGTTTTGCGCGGTACGAGAATTGTTGTTCCGAAGGCTTTACGGGGAGACGTCTTGCGTCTTACCCACGAGGGACATCAGGGCATCGTAAAAATGAAGGCACGTTTAAGGACAAAGGTTTGGTGGCCAAAGCTTGACTCAGACGCAGAGCAGGTGTGTAAGTCTTGTCATGGCTGCCAAGTCGTGGGTGAGTTCCAGGTTCCTGAGCCCATGAAGAGAGTGAAGCCGCCTACTGGACCCTGGCAAGACATAGCCATAGACCTGATGGGCCCTCTTCCCACTGGAGAAAGTTTACTCGTCGTCGTAAACTATTACAGTAGATTCTACGAGGTAGCGATCATGTGCTCAACAGCAGCTAAGAGAGTGGTGGATGTACTGACACAGATATTCTCCAGATATGGATTCCCATTTGCACTCAAGTCTGACAATGGTCCTCAGTTTTGCTGTGTAGAGTTTGAGAAGTTTCTCTCTGATCATGGAATCGAACACATGACTTCCCCACCACTCTGGCCGCAGGCCAATGGACATGTTGAAAGACAGAACAGAACTCTGCTTAAGACTTTGAAAGTTGCTCACGTTGAGGGAAAAATCTGGCGTGAAGAACTGCAGAAGTTTCTGCTACCATATAGAACAACACTGCAAACAGGCACTGGTGTTACTCCTGTGTTCCTTATGTTTGGCAGAGAGTTGAAAACCAAACTTCCAGAGTTGAGGCGCGCTGGTAACCTGTTGGACGAGGGGGTCCGAGATCGTGATTGGAATCACAAGTTCACCCACAAGGAACATGCTGACAACAAGCGGGGTGCAGCCGAAAGCCCTGTAGTGCCTGGAGATCTGGTTTTACTGAAGAACACGAAAACGTCTGGCAAGCTAGAAGCAAATTTCTAGAGTGAGCCATACACAGTGCAGACTAAGGAAGGCAGTGAGGTGACTGTTAGGTCAAAGGAGGGTGTGGAATACAGGCGGAACAGTTCATTTGTTAAGCGGTACAACCCACCAGGGGAATCCCCGGAAGCCACAGAGGCCGCTTCTCAAGACGCACCCAATACTCTTCCACTGGAGGAGAGTATAGCAACATCAAGACCAAGGCGGACTGTCAGAATGCCGGAGAAGGACAAGGACTATGTACTTTATGAACTGAACTCTGTTGACACGTTGGACGTATGTTGAAGTCTGTTAGATTTGGTTTCATGTTATTAGATTTTATTGAACAGTCTTATTGAGATAATTCAATGCGAGCAGAACAGTTTTCATACAGATTTATTTTTCGCTGTTAAGTACCTTATTGACTTTTTCTCATAGTCTGTTTGTTTCTAAAGAAAGGAAGGGATGTAATGTATCGATACTATTGTCTACCGGAGGTTGTGTTAGCGGAAGTTCTCGGTTACTGTAAACGTGCAAAGGATCATGGATATTTGTGTGGGCCATGCTTTCCGGATGTCATGGCGGCCGAATAAAGTGTAGTTTCTTTCGTAGTTAAATCTGGTTTATTACACGGCCATCCGGGCGTCATTGTTACACCCGCCATCATGGATCCTCCATTTTGAATTTATATAAATGTATTCAATTTTACTTCAAACCCGAACAAATCGAGGTAATCGGTATGGCAAAATTGATCTATAACAGAATGTTTATGAAGCGAAAAATATTTTCCAGCAAATGCCATTTGGCCGTTTTAAATTCATGTTTCTTTTCCCAAATCAGTCACTGAAAAGCCTGGATTACACTAGCATTCATATTAAATTGGACATAATATTGCTAAATTAATTGAAAAGCTATAATTTAATGATTAACTGGAAAATAATCCTTTTTGTAGGAAAAAAGCAAATTCATATGTTGACATACACAGCACGGCGACTTTTTAAAATGTTCCCAGCTACTTTTAGGCAAAGTCACCAAGTTTATTGGCCAGAGCCTAAAAAGTTTTGAAGTTATTCAACTTTTTAGCAAAGGAGAGCTCAAAAGCCACCCCGTCTGAGTACCGTTAAATCATGTTTAGTTCTTAGCCCTGTTCGGTGCAAACGTTTACAATCAATGTCATTATGCCCAGAAATATAACACCTTGAACAACTTTTGAACCAGTATTCATCAATTATTCTACACTAAAATGCGACAGCTACTCATCTTTCGTTGCCTCTATACACCGAATGCAAATATGGTGGATCTCTCGGTCGGCCCGGGTCTAGTTGCGCGAAAGCGAGGTTAGTGAGGCCTCAAGAGTTTTGTTTTGACAGCCCGTCTTAGCAATGCAGTCGATCAACATGGTTTCCTTCGAGCTGTTACTTGCTTAAGAGCCATCAAAGACGAGATTTAACTCCAGCAGAGACGAAAATTGATTATCTTCGCTTTGCCAAGGTTCTTTACGAAGAAAGAAATGGATTCAAGCGATTCGGCGCGGCGAATGGAGGCACTTTACTATCACGGAGTTAAAAGAACGAAATGGTGCTTGCTTCACTTCAGAAGAGAAGACTCACGAAACTATTAGAATGGGTGAATAACTGAAAGATTAATGGTTCTGTTTCAAGTTTGCTTTGTCCGTTCTCTTACCAAGGAAAGGTAAATATCCTCGAGAACGAGTGAATCCGCCGTCCCGACTTACCAATCTTTAGGCGCTCTCAGGGACACAACGACAGACAACAAGGCCGAATATTTCACAGTCTTTACGATCCTGTGTTCAAAAGTTTGAGCAGTGCCATAAAAGAAGCAATTTTTGGAAAATCGCTGTTAGTTTATCTCGAATCCATTCGACGCCGTGACAAGTTGCTAAAATAGGTCACGCGCAAGGTCAAATACAATGCTCGAATACTTACACGCTCTTTCTCTGCCAGAACCTTTTTCCTTCTTCTTACTTTCTTAGTTGGAAACGGTTCCTCTGTTAGTTTTTTCAGTGCACTTTGGTCAAGGACTGTTCTTGAAATATGTCGCTTTCTTCTGGTTCTTACATAGCTTCACAGGTCACGCTTGTAGGATTAACAGGCGATTGTTATTGTTGTTGTTATATTTTAATGCAGCTGTTTTCAGCGTGAAATCTAAAAGATCTTACAGTCCACAGCGAATGCTCCCGTTCTCGAGAATGTTTACCTTTTGTTGGATAAATAACAGACCATGCAAGCATCTTGGAACAGCACCATTTCTTGTGAAAATTATTTCATTCAAATACTTTCGCGAGTCCTCTCATCTAAAGCAAGTGAAGAGCGCACACTTTCGCTGTAAAGTGCTTCCCATCGCCGTGCCGAACCGCATGAATCCTTAACTTTCTTTGTGAAAAGATCTCGGGAAAGTAAAGGCTATTCGAGCTAGAGTAAAATCTTCTTTTTGGTGGCCCTCAGGCATGCAACAACTCGAAGCAACCCATATCGATCGACTCGATCGCTAAGAAGCGCAGTCAAAACAAAACTCTTGCCTCACTAGCCTCGCTTTCGCGTAACTAGACCCGGGCCAGGCGAGAGGTCCGCCTTATTTGCATTCGGTGTATTGTGAGCGGTTATATATATATATATATATATATATATATATATATATACATAACACAAATCGTCCTCGACTTTCTAGTGCCTTTTATGTCTATTTAAAGTACTGACCCCTTACTAACATCCAGTATAATATCCCTCGGTTCGCCTAGGCCACTTGTTATGAGAGCTCTACGATAGGAACCGTCTAGTTTGGATACTTCCAGCTTGTCACTTCCTGTATCAGTCCAGTAGAGATTCCTTCCTACAATGTCCACAGCCAATCCATCTGGTATCTGGACGTTTTGGCGAAACAGTACCTCAAACATAGAGCCATTCATGAAAGAACGAGAAATGGTCTTCCTTGTCACATCCGTCCAGTATACTCTATCCTCTAAAACGTCGTAGCCAATGGCCACCGGGCGTTTGATACTGCTTGACAACGGTAAAGCGGTAAGTGATCCAGGAACATGAGGAGAAACTTTCTTAATTTTTCCGTATGAAGCATCAGCGAACAGAAGAAACTCACTCGGCTCAGGAAAAGCTTTGTATAAAAGAGATCGGGAAAAAGAAATTGATTTCATAAAGATGGAGGTCAGTGTTTTACGTCTGCTTTTCAACTCGGTTTTGATTAATATGTAGGTTGGGTCTAATTAACTCTTTTTATTGGAGAGATTTGATTTGGTTTTTTTCAGAGAAGAAATAAAAATTTGACTGGAAATAAGACTCTTTTCAATAAATTTATAAATAGAATTTGATTTTATATTGAAGGTACTTAGTCAATTGTGGCTTCTATCAATAATACTCATCAAGAAATGTCATAATTAACCAGATCGCTGAACGATGACATATTCAATGCTATTGTACGTGGGACACATGAGGCATCTCTTTATCAGCAGTCTCTTGATCTTGTTTTGGTTTGAGAGACGTTATATCATCTAGCAATTAAAAGGACGAAAGAATCAGTGCGTGGACGGGTTTGGAATCAATTTATTGTGATTCTAAGTCTCCACTGATCGACGGATGGGTCTGTTTCCTAGAAGAATGGGAAGCTGGTGGAAGTTGTTTTGTTCTTGAAATTCCACACAGGAAAGGTTATGCCTCCCTGGTCGTAATTCATCATACCTTTACAAGTTCTTCCGTCATCATCTAGAATGAGGCCTTCTGAACAAGTGCACGCTCTTCCAGATGGTGTAAGCAAACAAAGTTGACTACATCCGCCATTATTGTATTTGCACTGGTCTGTGACTGTAAACGGATAGAGCAAGACACATAAATAAAAGCAAGAACAATTGAACCATAACTTAAAACATGCCGTCAATAGTGAAACACGCAATGAGCCAATAAGTTGCAAGTAAGTGGTGGCAAGTAAATGTCTAAATGTGAAGATGAATGTGAAATCAAATTCAGTATTTATAATTAGAGTCCAAGGAATGGCACTCGTAAGCTGCGCTGGTGCCGAATTACCTTTGCAACGAATAAAGGGTTATGATGTCTAAAATATATTTTTAAGGCTTTTTTTTTTAATGCGATATGAATATATTTTTGTCAAATTATCGCAATGATGTTTTATTAGTTTTAGTTTATTTATTCGCCAAAAAAAAGTCGACATAATAAAACAGAAAAAATGTCTGAGTTCTCTGCAGGATGTTTAGCAAATCAAAGGCTTTGATTGTGGTAGCAAATCAAAAGGATCACCTGTCTGCTTCTAATGTAATTTTTCTCGTTTCCGTCTTTTTATTCTTAATAAACTGTGGTCATACACATTTTCTAAACATTTGCTAACGTTTGAGTTATTATCGCTGCAATTTTTTTTACACTGAAAATTCCGCTTCAAGGAAGTATCAACAACATAAACGTTTCTTTTTTTATTGTAGAAAACGCCTTCTCTTTACCTGGCGTGGTTTCTTCACTGAGATTATATCCATGTAAGTCCATAGGCTTCCCAATACCTGTGACAAATACACTGACATCTGCATTGTTTTTGTTGGCTCTATAAACAGCGTAATTTCTCCAGTCAGTCCAGTACAAGTAATCTCCAACAAGTGTTAACCCGAAAGGATGAGGCAGGGTTGCTGAAGAAGATATGAAGGTCACCCTGATGTTCGTACTCAGGTGTAAGTATTCCAGCTTGTCAAATCTAGCATCCACCCAATACAAACGGTTTTTGTCTGTGTCAAGCGTTAGACCGTTTGGCCACGACAGACGTGAGTTTACGAGAGCAACCCGCTGCTTTCCTGACATGTCCGCCCTTTCAATCTTTGGGTGGTAACCCCAATCAGTCCAATACATGATTCTATCAAATGCAAAATAAGTAACACTGTAAGGATTTTCTCCTATCTTCTAGACCTTACAACCCTTCTCGGTCATTTGATGTCGTTTTTTTTTTTTTTAAAACACTCTTGGTTTTTGCAATGCAACCTGACGACGTTGCGTCCACTTTTACGGTGACAAACACTTAACCCGGGTGAATTATTCAGACGGCGTTTGGAAGGGCCCCCTATGACTTCAAAACCGCTCATATTACGGCCACCAAAATTGCACATAATAATGTATTTATCATTTTCAACTTCTAGGAATGACATGATTGACAGAATAATGTAATTTGACGTCATTATGACGTCTTTATGTTGAATTTATTGGTAGAATCCAAATGCCATCAATTATTCCCTTCAAAGCGAAAAAAACTTAAATAGTAAGGTGTACGACAAAATTAGTTAGCTAACGCATTAATGACCTATAACCACAGCGGTGATGTCATAATGACGTCGTTTATCTTTGAAGAAGAAACTGGAATCGCCCGCCATCATGGATCCTCCATTTTGAATTTACATAAATGTATTCAATTTTACTTCAATCCCGAAGAAATCGAGGTAATCGGTATGAAAAAATTGATCTATATCAGAATGTTTATGAAGCGAAAAATATTTTCCAGCAACTGCCATTTGGCCCTTTTAAATTCATCTTTCTTTTCCCAATTCAGTCATTAAAAAGCCTGGATTTCACTAGCATTCATATTCAATTGGACATAATATTGCTAAATTAATTTAAAAGCTATAATTTAATGATTAACTAGAAAGTAACCCTTTTTGTAGGAAAAAAGCAAATTCAAAACAATGGCTGTCAAAACTCGGTTGCCATAGTTATGTCAATGTTGACATACACGGCACGGCGACTTTTTAAAATGTTCCCAGATACTTTTAGGCAAAGTCGCCAAGTTTATTGGCCATAGCCTAAAAAGCTTTGAAGTTATTCAACTTTTTAGCAAAGGAGAGCTCAAAAGCCACCCCCGTCTGAGTACCGTTAAATCATGTTTAGTTTTTAGCCCTCTTCATTGCAAACGTTTACAATCAATGTCATTATGCCCAGAAATATAACACCTTGAACAACTTTTGAACCAGTATTCATCAATCATTCTTAACTAAAATGCGACAGCTACCCATCTTTCGTTGCCTTTATTGTGAGCAGTTATATATATATTTCAGTCGACTTATTAGTAAGTTTTGTTGCTTTTTATACCTATTTAAACCACTGACCCCTTACTAACATCCAGTATAATATCCCTCGGTTGGCCTAGGCCACTTGTTATGAGAGCTCTACGATAGGAACCGTCTAGTTTAGATACTTCCAGCTTGTCACTTCCTGTATCGGTCCAGTAGAGATTCCTTCCTACAATGTCCACAGCCAATCCATCTGGTATCTGGACGTTTTGGCGAAACAGTACCTCAAACATAGAGCCATTCATGAAAGAACGAGAAATGGTCTTTCTTGTCACATCCGTCCAGTATACTCTATCCTCTAAAACGTCGTAGCCAATGGCCACCGGGCGTTTGATACTGCTTGACAAGGGTAAAGCGGTGAGTGATCCAGGAGCATGAAGAGAAACTTTCATAATTTTTCCGTATGAAGCATCAGCGAAAAGAAGAAACTCACTCGGCTCAGGAAAAGCTTTGTATAAAAGAGATCGGGAAAAAGAAATTGATTTCATAAAGATGGAGGTCAGTGTTTTACGTCTGCTTTTCAACTCGGTTTTGATTAATATGTAGGTTGGGTCTAATAAACTCTTTTTATTGGAGAGATTTGATCTGGTTTTTTTTTTCAGAGAGGAAATAAAAATTTGACTGGAAATAAGACTCTTTTCAATAAATTTATAAATAGAATTTGATTTTATACACAGCAAATTCGAGGTTGTAAATTAACACCAAGGGAGATATACATTGACACTGAATTAGTGTTATCATAACACTTGCCGAGTGTTTCTTAAAAGATACACCAATTCAGTGTATGAAAACACTAAAATGGTGTAATCAAGAAATGTGGCACACGTTGGCGGTGTAAAGTTACACTACGTCTGTGTTTCAGAAATCTTGCAAGAACTTAACACAACTGGTGTGTTATTTTACACCAAATCGTGTATCAAAACACTAACACGGAGTTTAATCGGAAATTATCAATTGCATATCCCAGGTCAGAAATGTTTAAACTAACCACCCTGCTCACGTGAATAGACCGAATAGGTCTATGCGGCTTTTCAAAAAATATGAGATGTGTGGCAGTGCTCAGCAATGAAAGTAGTTATACTTCTTGGTGCTAAAAGTTATGTGAATCCTTTATTAAGGATGATGTAATTTCCTTTTCTTCAAAAATTGACTGATCTAATAATGAAAATTATCCTCACGTACTTTATTATGGGCAGAGAACCCTAAAAAAAAAAAAAAAAAAAAACATACACACACACACACACCGTGACACGAGCATCTACTACCAGGCCCCACGTGCTTTCCGTGACTAATTGAAAGCACGTGCTTTCAGTGTTTATACGCCTGAAAGGTGAAAACAAAGATAATTGTGCAAAATTAAAATGTTCTAAAAAGACGGCATTTGTCTTATAAGCAAGTTAACCTTCGAAACATCACGAAAACATCGCATTTGCTTAACACCAGTCATTTTTATATTTGTATGCTGCGTGAGGCTCACGAAAGTGATCTTGTAAGTTTTATTGAAACGCGTCTATCAACGTCGGCAAGCGAAACAACATCGGAATGTTTTGTGTGCGGATACGACCAATCACAACTCAGTCCTAAAACGTTCTCACGGTTTCATTAATCCCTTTGGTCGCATTGTCAACATTCCTTTCAAGACGGTACTTATCAAGTAATGTTTTGTCCAATCAGAGAATAGCGGAAAGGTTTCGTATCTTGTTCAACGTTACGTGCTGTTCATATATTCACGCACAGCGAAGCAGTAGCTGTCCATTTCACCGTCTGTAGATTCTGCACGGAAGAGTTAAATTATTTAGTCTGCCTGTTTTAAGGGTAAAACCTGGCTTCACTTATCTTTATTTGCGAAGATGTTCAAGAGTGGATGAAGAAGGAGGGGTATTCAGGCATTTGCCGATAATTTTTATGGTAAGGTAATGGCCTGTCCTAACTAAATAATATGTTCTGCTTTTAAAAGAAAAAAACCGTCATATACTGTGACACGAACCTACAATTCGTAAAACGGTGTTCTGATACATCTTTCTTTTGATTCCCCATCTAACAAAAGTTCCCAACTGAAAATGCACTTTTGGCGCGAAATAACGGAACACGTTGACGTTTTTACTTCGCATTATATTAATTAAGGCCTGAAAGTTTAGCTTTAAAAACTTTAATTTTCCTTTCTTAACTCTTTACTTTTTAACTTCCAAAGCTGAACAGGTTCGGTTGTGCATGGGAGACCCTGAAGACCCTCGTGCCCCCTGCTGGCGTTCTCGCTAATCTTCTTCACAAGGTACGAAAACTTGACTTGATAAAAGCACTGAAGTTCGGATAATTCACGAAGTGTCTACCCAAGCGCGACCTGTACAAGAAGCCGTTAATGCTGAAACAGTTGGCGAGGCATCTAGCGCCCTAACAGTTGATAAAAAGAGGTGAGAACCTATTTACACTTCCAAAGGGCCAGTGACTGTCACAAACATCATTTCATTCTATATGAAAACGGGTAGGGGAGTAGAAGGGGAGGGATTTGCAAATTTTGTCCATGTGGTTCTATATTGTAAGCTTTTTTTCCTGCAATCCGGTCAATTATGGAAAATCCAAACTATAATAACAAAAGAGACAATATTATATATAGGGAATTTACTAGCAATGATAAGCTTGCAACATAGACAAGTTAATACTGACATATTTCTTAGGTAGGGTGGGTGGGAAATTAGGTTCAGTGGAAGAAAGAAGACTCAGTTACAATGCATTAGTCAACCTATACGGAGCGGTTAGGAGAGAATCCTGGGAACGAGGTTTTGGATTAGTAAGCAAATTCTAAACACATCATTACCTATTTCATGTTACACCTACACAATTTGCCAATGTGTGCTGTCCATATACAATGTAAAAGAACGTATAAACATTTTCAATCATTCACAAGAGATACCTGTAATGAAAAATATTATTTTCAGCCATCCTATTCATTTTACCAATGATACTTCAATACTGCCTTTTTCGATAAAAGTGCCTGAGACCAAAAACTGTAAAGTTCTGTTCAGTGATACAATAATCGAGGCTGCAAAAAGTATTATTAAAATATGTCTGTAAGGTTCTCAATTATATATATTCCCAAACAACTTATCTTTATCTTTCAATTCATCATGTTGTGGGTTTCCATAGCTATGTAAAGTTGGATTTTCCGCTTTTAACTAGCTCCAAAGTTGAGAGGCCAGCCCGCTCATTACTTGGAACATGATGAACTGATAGCTGGTAATAATTATAGTTATCTAAAATTATCAGAAAAACTTAAGAAGGATAGAAAAACAAAAAAGAAAGAAAGGACGGAAGAAAGACTAAGAAAAAGGAAATACACTCACAGTAATGCTTCCACCCCCTTTGAACAAATTTTTATTATTTGCGGCATTTTTTTTTTTAGTTGGAAAAGATCTGATGGGGCAAAAAGGCGTCAGAGACGAGCTCAAAATAAACGAAGAATAAAAACAAATAAAACAAATAAAGAAAAACGCTCATGAAGAGCTAGTTCAAGAAAAAAAGAAAAGACAGACAACCGAAGAAAAACTGTCTTATGTCAAAAAAAAAAATCAAGAGAAGTTTCACCAACTGTGGCGTCAAACAGAACGTTAAAAAGAAAGATTGCTTCATTTGCAGATGAAAAATAAAACAAAGTCAATCAATTCTTCAGATAGTGCTGTGGCAGTAACAAACTCATTCCTAGAGATTCCACGGGAACAGAAAGTACATGTGAATATGGACAGTGATTCCAAAAACTTAATAACCCTTTGGGAAGGAAAGTTTGGAAAAGTAACTTGCCTTTTATCGAGAAATGCCTGTTGCAGTGAAACAATTCATCAAGGAGTCCCTTTAAACAGAATTAAGTTGAGCATGAGGCAAACATTATTTCCTCATTTAATCAGGCTAAACCTTTCATGCTTGTACTACAATCCTAATTCGTTTTTCGGCAGGAACAATTCAACCGATTTCTATGATGTTTTGGACAGTTTTTGTAAAAATTCGGTTTTAAACATAAGCTGATATCTCAAACAGTGTTAAACCTACACAAAAATAGACAACATTTTCTTAAATTTGCACTATTCTTTATTAAGGATGCCAAAAATGAAAAACGCGATTCAAAAACATACCCAACGTGCATATAAATAGGTTCGGGCCATCTGAAGAATTGGATGAACATACGAAACTTTCCATTTCAATATTTATTGACTTTTATTATGCTGCAGTTGAGAAAACACATTTATTGAAAGTGTTCTTTTGCCTCTTTTTCCTCTTTATAGAATGGTGTTGATGCAAATAAAGTTGCCGAGAACAGCAAGGAGGGAATGACGCACTTCATCATCTTTGAGGGGCAACTGCAAGCCCCAGATGATATATACCTGAGTGGGGAAAGGAATCTCCCTCTAAAGGTTAATGGAGGACATACCAGCGCCTTGCTCACTCTAATATATGTTGTGCGTAATATAGAATATCCGGAAGAGTGCAGACACTCGTATTCATTTGTCCCAGAGAGAAGTTTTGAATGGACAATGTTAAACTATACCAACTAAGATATTACAGCTCATGAATGAACTGAATCAGTTCTAAGCTCGTAATTAAAGCAAACTAAAATTAAATCTGCACGACTTGTTGTGTAATCTGCCTTTCACATCAATAGCTAAGCCTAACGACGACAACGACGGTGACAAAAACGTCTCTTAAAAAGTAGATCCACGTTGCTTCAAATTTCATCTCTCCGGCTTCTGTAGTTCGGTATAGGACTATATTAATATTTGAATTTTTAAAAAAAGGTTGCATGAGAAAATCGTTCTCTCATGCAGTGTGCTCTCATCCTCCGCAAAACTGGTGAAATTAGGTAGTTAAATGTCGTAGTCGTGCAACAACGGCAAGAAAATAAGCAAAAATGTGTGATGCACGTGCAAAGATGTTGTTTTGCTAATATAAATCTATTGCTTTTTTCGTAACATTTTCGTCGCCGTCATTGTCGTATTAACCTCCCTAAAAAGTCTTAGAAAAGAAAGACCTACGGTGTACAGCCCTCTTAGTTTTTAAGAGGCTGTCTCAGTAAAAACCGCCCACTCAATTTCGCGTGAAAAATAATTTTGCCTGAAACTCTGGCGAGTGAAAGGCTTTATCGAGACTATAACGAAAATAGGTTTGCTTTGGTTCACAATAATTTCCTGGAAGCGCTTGGGGGCGCCGAGTATTTTGTCCCCCCACGGCCATTTGCACGTCTTGAAAACTGAAAATTTGGCATTTTTTGCGGCGCTGTAAAATGTTTGATTTGCACCATCTACCAATGAATTTTATACCTATTTATAGGTAAACATCTCTAGTTTTTCCTGAAAGTAATAGTTATCCGCTAAATTTAGCTGGAAAGACGAAATCAAGCAAAATATGACCCCAACTAATTGCCTTGGAGCGAATGGCCAAAAATGACCCTGTTTTAAAAGCTAATTTCTGACTTTTGGGACATAGTTGAAAGCTCTAGACTAAATAGACGCAAAGATAGACCACCTATTATTAATAATATACAAAACCCCATGTACGTTTTCAGTATTTTAAAAGTTATGACCGTTTGTAACAACGCGTATGCGAGCTAATACGATATTTTCAGATTTAGCATAACAGATCTATCTCAAGCAGATTTTGTTCAAAAGTACGGCTTACCTGATTCATTACTGGCACTGACTCACAAATTGAGACATATTCCAATCCCTGAGATGCCGGACTCCATAAAATTCCAGTGAGATGTGCTTTAGAAACTGCTGGTATGCGGCCATTTTTGAATCCCAAGCTAACAATCCGAAGATCAAAACAGGTGAAACTGTGTCACGTTTCGAGCTAAATAGCTCGGTAAAACAACCGTTCAGAGGTGAAAGTTTGCTCGAGAATCAGAAAATTAACTGGAAAGGTCTCATTTTGGATCAGAAAATTGAGATTTCAGAGCTACAACCTCGAATAAACCTTCTATTCAACCGGCTCTGCAAGGTCAAATGCAGGTTGACACGTAAACCGGAAATGTTGAAACGCGGAAATACGGAAAACCGGAAAACCGGAAATACAGAAATCCGGATCATCCGGAAATCGGCAAATCTGAAATCAATCAGGAGTCGAAGGCAATCCCAAAAATTAGAGACAGCTGCATTCGTTTAGGGCTTCTTTTCGACGTTGAGACACGTAAAAGGTAAATCCTTCCAAAAGGCGTAGCTGTTTGATTTTCACTGAAACGCAGTTCCACGATCGATTGCGTTTGGCAAATAGGCTACAAACATTCTATGTGCACTAGCATATCACACTTGTGACTAATACTTTACAGAAGTTTGATATATATCGAGACTGAGTGTGTCGAGGTCTAGGAAACCAAGCCAGCTCGGTTGTCTGGCTTCATTAGTATAGAGGGTCCTTCAAAATCGCTTGTTAATGGGGCATTCTGGTTGTTTTTTCGGGGGAAATGATGGTGATTTGGGAAAGAAATAAATAAGAGTAGAAAAGGTATGCACATAAAGCAGTTATTCCGCTAATGGGATCAGAGGCACTCCTTGTTGGAGTCTCTGGTATTAATTTTTCTTCTGATTATTCACTTCATATTTTAATTTCTAACAACCCCCAAATCCAATATTTTCCAACATTTTTCACATCCTCCCTAATTTTTATACATTAAAACGATTCGAAGAATCATCCAGAAATTCTCAAAAAATTATTGAACCAAGAACTCCATCTTAACTGAGTCATCTTTTGATTCACGGATAACTTGGACAGCGGATAACGCGAGGAGAGCAGAGGAAAGTCATTTGGTATGGTTGCAAGAAACTCCCATGATTTAATCTAGAGTAGCTTTAAGAAAGGAATTAATTAATTCTGTATGCGTGTTTAGACCTGAACACCAACATTTACACCGGATGGTGAAACTAGTGGCAAGTCCTAAGGGCGACCCTTTTTGTAGACCAAAAATCCGATGCAACTTTGTTTTAGGATTAGCTACAAAACACCATTAAATGGTCGAAAAAATAATCCTACATTTGTCGATAAATTTGGGTTTTCTGACCCAAAACGAAATCTGCTTAGCTGATGTTTTGATTCTCGGACAAGTCTCACCTCCGGACATTTCTGTTATTTTCTTTCTTACCCAGCTATTTATCTCGAAACGTGACATACCGTAAAACTCCGAAAATAAGCCTCGGGTCTTATATTTTTCAAAGGCCCTTTTTGAGGGGTTTATTTTTGGACGGGCTTCGGAGGGGCTTATGTACGGAGGGGAATTTGCGTTTCAAAATCGATTGGGTTAGCATAAAGTTGGAAGGAAATTAACAGTTTTTGCTTTGCTTTACTTTGTATTTGAGGGCAATTTTCCAAGTATAAGCCCCCGGGGGGCTTATTTTCGAATGGGGCGATTTCACGGAGGGTTTTTTGTGTTACGAGTTAGGGGGGCTTGTACATGGAGGGGCTTATTTTCGGAATTTTATGGTAGTTTCAGCATGGGATTCAAATATGGCCGCATACCAGCAGTTTCAAAAGCAGTTTGAATGAAGTAATGGTCAATTTTTTAGTCAGTGCCAGTAATGAATTAGGTAAAGTTTTGGAGGAGACGGAGGAGGAAAATCTAGTTCCTGTTGTAAAAATAGTCAAAGGGACGGGAGAAGATTCAGAAAGAGGATCAGTACACCGTGAAGAAGGCTTTCTCCCATTCACTCAAGCCTTCCCTAACCCCCTCTAAGTAATGATCGGTTTCTTAAAAACTTACTCACCGGCCGGGACTATTATCCGCTCTTAACAAACGATTTTCAAGAGCCTCTATACTAATAAGCCCAGACAACCGAGCTGGCTCGGTTTCCTAGATCTCGACACATTCATTTTCGATATATAGCCAACTTCTGTAAAGTATTAGTCACAAGTGTGATATGTTAGCGCACATAGAATGTTTGTATATAACCGGTTAATGATATTTACTGTTTCTTATGGAGCCTATTTGCCAAACGCAATCGATCGTGGAACTGCGTTTCAGTGAAAATCAAACAGCTACGCCTTTTGGAAGGATTTACCTTTTACGTGTCTCAACGTCGAAAAGAAGCCCTAAACGAATGCAGCTGTCTCTAATTTTTGGGATTGCCTTCGACTCCTGATTGATTTCAGATTTGCCGATTTCCGGATGATCCGGATTTCTGTATTTCCGGTTTTCCGGTTTTCCGTATTTCCGCGTTTCAACATTTCCGGTTTACGTGTCAACCTGCATTTGACCTTGCAGAGCCGGTTGAATAGAAGGTTTATTCGAGGTTGTAGCTCTGAAATCTCAATTTTCTGATCCAAAATGAGACCTTTCCAGTTAATTTTCTGATTCTCGAGCAAACTTTCACCTCTGAACGGTTGTTTTACCGAGCTATTTAGCTCGAAACGTGACACAGTTTCACCTGTTTTGATCTTCGGATTGTTAGCTTGGGATTCAAAAATGGCCGCATACCAGCAGTTTCTAAAGCACATCTTACTGGAATTTTATGGAGTCCGGCATCTCAGGGATTGGAATATGTCTCAATTTGTGAGTCAGTGCCAGTAATGAATCAGGTAAGCCGTACTTTTGACAAAATCTGCTTGAGATAGATCTGTTATGCTAAATCTGAAAATATCGTATTAGCTCGCATACGCGTTGTTACAAACGGTCATAACTTTTAAAATACTGAAAACGTACATGGGGTTTTGTATATTATTAATAACAGGTGGTCTATCTTTGCGTCTATTTAGTCTAGAGCTTTCAACTATGTCCCAAAAGTCAGAAATTAGCTTTTAAAACAGGGTCATTTTTGGCCATTCGCTCCAAGGCAATTAGTTGGGGTCATATTTTGCTTGATTTCGTCTTTCCAGCTAAATTTAGCGGATAACTATTACTTTCAGGAAAAACTAGAGATGTTTACCTATAAATAGGTATAAAATTCATTGGTAGATGGTGCAAATCAAACATTTTACAGCGCCGCAAAAAACGCCAAATTTTCAGTTTTCAAGACGTGCAAAATAGCCCTGGCGGGACAAAATACTCGGCGCTCCCCAGCGCGGCCAGAAAATTATTGTGAATCAAAGCAAACCTATTTTAGTTATAGTCTCGATAAAGCCTTTCACTCGCCGGAGTTTCAGGCAAAATTATTTTTCACACGAAATTGAGTGGGCGGTTTTTACTGAGACAGCCTCTTAACACTTGTTTTAATTCATGCTGTTTTACTGAATTCTGAAGAGAACAAAGTTTTTATTACTAGGTAAAGCAATTAAATGGGAGTAAACTTACAGGTTGTTGTCGTAGCTGTTACTTTGTCTACTTTTAAGACTTCTTTATGAGTTACAAATAGTGTTGGCTCAGCACTCAGACGGTGTGTCATAACACAATTGGAAGTGTTGATCTACACTAATACAGTGTAAAATTCTCAGTAGTGTAAATTTACCTGACTTTGGTGTGCACACAGCTGCAATGGGTTTTACACATATTCAGTGTCATCATTACCCTTTTTCAGTGTAACAAAAACACCAGAACAGTGTAAAGGAGACATATTTTTGGTGTATTTTAACACCAAATTGGTTTACGTTAACTCAATTTTGGTGTTACTAAACACCAATATAGAGAAAATATACACTAGGTCAGTGTTGCTGTCACACTGCAAAGGTGTTTTTAAACGCATTCAGGATCGTATGTAGGTCATATTTACACCATTTTGGTGTAAATATACACGACAGTAGTGTTAACTGAACACCTATTTGGTCTTCACACAGCTGCAAAAATTTACACTTTTTTGGTGTTACCATAACACCTCGATTTTGCTGTGTTGAAGGTACTTAATCAATTGTGGCTTCTATCAATAATACTCATCAAGAAATGTCATAATTAACCAGATCGCTGAACGATGACATATTTAATGCTATTGTACGTGGGACACATGAGGCATCTCTTTATCAGCAGTCTCTTTATCTTGTTTTGGTTTGAGTGACGTTATATCATCTACCATTAAAAAGGATGAAAGAATTAGTGCGTGGTCGGGTTTGGAATCAATTTTTTTGTGATTCTAAGTCTCCACTGATCGACGGATGGGTCTGTTTCCTAGAAGAGTGGGAAGCTGGTGGAAGTTGTCTTGTTCTTAAAATTCCACACAGGAAAGGTCATGCCTCCCTGGTCGTAATTCATCATACCTTTACAAGTTCTTCCGTCATCATCTAGAATGAGGCCTTCTAAACAAGTGCACGCTCTTCCAGATGGTGTAAGCAAACAAAGTTGACTACATCCGCCATTATTGTAGTTGCACTGGTCTGTGACTGTAAATGGTTAGAGCAAGACACATAAATAAAAGCAAGAACAATTGAACCATTTCTTAAAACATGCCGTCAATAGTGAAAGCAAGCAATGAGCCAATAATTTGCAAGTAAGTCGTAGAAAGTAAATGTCTAAACGTGAAGATGAATGTGAAATCAAATTCAGTATTTATAATTAGAGTCCAAGGAATGGCACTCGTAAGCTGCGCTGGTGCTGAATTACCTTTGGAACGAATAAAGGGTTATGACGTCTAAAATATATTTTAAGGCTTTTTCTTTTAATGCGATATGAATATATTTTTGTCAAATTATCGCAATGATGTTTTATTAGTTTTAGTTGATTTATTCGCCAAAAAGAAGTCGACATAATAAAACAGAAAAAATGTCTGAGTTCTCCGCAGGATGTTTAGCAAATCAAAGGCTTTGATTGTGGTAGCAAATCAAAAGGATCACCTATCTGCTTCTAATGTAATTTTTCTCGTTTCCGTCTTTTTATTCTTAATAAACTGTGGTCATACACATTTTCTAAACATTTGCTAACGTTTGAGTTATTATCGCTGCAATTTTTTTTACACTGAAAATTCCGCTTCAAGGAAGTATCAACAACATAAACGTTTCTTTTTTTTTTAGAAAACGCCTTCTCTTTACCTGGTGTGGTTTCTTCACTGAGATTATATCCATGTATGTCCATAGGCTTCCCAATGCCTGTGACAAATACACTGACATCTGCACTGTTTTTGTTGGCTCTATAAACAGCGTAATTTCTCCAGTCAGTCCAGTACAAGTAATCTCCAAGAAGTGTTAACCCGAAAGGATGAGGCAGGGTTGCTGAAGAAGATATTAAGGTCACTCTGATGTTCGTACTCAGGTGTAAGTATTCCAGCTTGTCAAATCTAGCATCCACCCAATACAAACGGTTTTTGTCTGTGTCAAGCGTTAGACCATTTGGCCACGACAGACGTGAGTTTACGAGAGTAACCCGCTGCTTTCCTGACATGTCCGCCCTTTCAATCTTTGGGTGGTAACCCCAATCAGTCCAATACATGATTCTATCAAATGCAAAGTAAGTAACACTGTAAGGATTTTCTCCTATCTTCTAGACCTTACAACCCTTCTCGTTCATTTGATGTCGTTTTTTTTATTTATAAAATCACTCTTGCTTTTTGCAGTGCAATCTGACGACGTTGCGTCCACTTTTATAGTGACAAACAGTTAACCCTCAGGGTGAATTATTCATACGGGGTTTGGAGGGGCCCCCTATGACTTCAAAACCGCTGATATCACGGCCACCAAAATTGCACATAATAATGTATTTATCATTTTCAACTTCTAGGAATGACATGATTGACAGAATAACGTAATTTGACGTCATTATGACGTCCTTATGTTGAATTTATTGGTAGAATCCAAATGCCATCAATTATTCTCTTCAAAGCGAAAAAAAACTTAAATAGTAAGGTGTACGACAAAATTAGTTAGCTAACGCATTAATGACCTATAACCACAGCAGTGATATCATAATGACGTCGTTTATCTTTGAAGAAGGAACTGGAACCGCCCGCCATCATGGATCCTCCATTTTGAATATAATTATATAAATGTATTCAATTTTACTGCAAACCCGAAGAAATCAAGGTAGTCGGTATGGAAAAATTGATCTATAACAGAACGTTTATGAAGCGAAAAATATTTTCCAGCAACAGCCATTTGGCCGTTTTAAATTCATGTTTCTTTTCCCAAATCAGTCACTAAAAAGCCTGGATTACACTAGCATTCATATTAAATTGGACATAATATTGCTAAATTAATTGAAAAGCTATAATTTAATGATTAACTGGAAATAATCCTTTTTGTTTTTGTAAGAAAAAAGCAAATTCAAAACAATGGCTATCAAAACTTGGTTCTCATAGTTATGTCAATGTTGACATACACGGCACGGCGACTTTTTAAAATGTTCCGAGATACTTTTAGGCAAAGTCGCCAATTTATTGGCCAGAACCTAAAAAGCTTTGAAGTTATTCAACTTTTTAGCAAAGGAGAGCTCAAAAGCCACCCCCGTCTGAGTACCGTTAAATCATGTTTAGTTCTTAGCTGTGTTCAGCGCAAACGTTTACAATCAGTGTCATTATGCCCAGTATTATAACACCTTGAACAACTTTTGAACCAGTACTCATGAATTATTCTTCACTAAAATGCGACAGCTACCCATCTTTCGTTGCCTCTATTGTGAGCAGTTATATATATCTTCCAGTCGACTTATTAGTAAGTTTTGTTGCCTTTTATATCTATTTAAACTACTGACCCCTTACTAACATCCAGTATAATATCCCTTGGTTCGCCTAGGCCACTTGTTATGAGAGCTCTACGATAGGAACCGTCTAGTTTAGATACTTCCAGCTTGTCAGTTCCCCTATCGGTCCAGTAGAGATTCCTTCCTACAATGTCCACAGCCAATCCATCTGGTATCTGGACGTTTTGGCGAAACAGTACCTCAAACATAGAGCCATTCATGAATGAACGAGAAATGGTCTTCCTTGTCACATCCGTCCAGTATACTCTATCCTCTAAAACGTCGTAGCCAATGGCCATTGGGCGTTTGATACTGTTTGACAAGGGTAAAGCGGTGAGTGATCCAGGAGCATGAGGAGAAACTTTCATAATCTTTCCGTATGAAGCATCAGCAAACAGGAGAAACTCATACTCAGGAGAAGCTTCAAGAGAGATCGAAAAAAGAAACAGATTGAGAGTGAATGTCTATAATATCATCGAGCAACCGGCGGCCAGGGTCACATCTTGTCCATAGGTAGGTATTAGCAAGTAAACAAAAGTGATGTATTTTGTTTTTGAAAATGGCTTGGTTAGCATCGCTTTTGAAGAAAATCGGGGAAATCAACTATGTTCGTGGTCTGTGACTTGAAAACAAACAAAATTTAAAGCAATATCAGGGTTCTTAAATCTTTGCTTGCAGGTAAAAGAGATGAATGCGGGGTAACTGAAGTATTCCCCAATAAATTAATTTATAAAGGGTTTTACTCATAATTTGGTGGCTAATTTTCAGGTTAGCGATAACGTGGGAGATAAATATAGAATACTTCATGAAAAGTGTGGGCGTACGGTATTTACGCACGAGTTGTTGACGTATCAGAAATCGAACGAGTGAGCGCTACGAACGAGTGAGATTTCTGATACAAACACAGCGACTGCGGATACAAAGCACTTTCCATGTGGTATTGTGTTTATTATATACATACTGAGACATTCGTTATTTTTGCCAGCCTTTTTATTTCAAATCTCTCCAAAATGCTAAACTTGGCTGCTACACACCGCGAAATCACAACAAAATCGAAGTACTATCCAAAAACGTTTGTCAATAAATATTTATGAGGGTATATAAGGATATGAGGTAATCCAAGGATTAAAAGTAATGTTAACTCTTTGTTCTGAATGCACAATTGAAAATGAATGAATTTAAGTAAAATGGCCGGTTTAAACGACGTTTAGTCGACTTGAGAGAAAGTCGACTAAACGGCGTTTAAACCGGCCGTAGGACACAGAGTGGCTATGAACTGAAGGTAAGGGAGCTTTTTGAATCAATATTTCGCGTGATCATGATTTTTTTTTTCTTAGCGTTGTAGATTCGAATACATGTGACAAAATTCGAACATTAAGGGCCCGAATCACATGTAATATTGCAAGAAATATCGACCTTCGTTATCTTAAAGGCTACTAGTACAAATAGACAAACAAGAAGACTTCATATCTTTAAGATTTTTGCGTTTATTTAGCATCAGATAATACACTAATAATTCTAGTATATTCCGACCAAATGACCTCTGAAGCCCGAACCCACGCATAGTGCGCTTGGGCTGCCTGTGTCCACACGAACCCTCTCGCCCCGGGGCGAACAGCAAACGTCACATTCTAGTAGAGAATTCCTCAAAATAGAAAACTGACAAGATAGAAACTGTCTAAAACAATTCTTATTGACAAACTTGTTGTGAAGCTACTAGTGTCTGTGTAGAAATAATGAACAGTAAACGGCAGGAAAAAGGAAAAGTTGGCCATGTGGTAGTACAAATTAGCCTAAATTTCATCCGATTACTTCGAGTCGTTATTACTCCCTCAGTAACATCTGAATCGACAGGCCGTTAATGCCGTCCAGTGACGTCACTACTCCTTGATATTTGCTTTAATTCATGCAAAAAGTAAAACACGATTTTCAAGTAGCAAACCGAGAAATGTCTGCATGATACATAACTGCTTTATTTTTTTCGATCGTAATTCATGTTTAACGTTCAAACTATCAACTGCATGCAGTACAACTCTCAACCGGTTGTGCTAAATTCTATAATCAAACTCGGTCGCAATCACGCAATGAAATAAACACAGACACGGAACACTTACTTCAAAAACACAATGATTTGCTTTAATTGAAAAGAAGCTATTTGGTCCATAACGAAGAAAAAAACAAGGAGACAAGAAAGAAAAGCTAACAGAATCATTACACTTGACGGTAAAAATAGCAAGAAGGTCGAATTATAACATTGAGGTCAGAAAACTTGGCGTAAACAAAATCACCGGCCTCCGAAACCACAAAGCGGCTCTAAATGAAAAACCTACCGACTCTCCGCAATGATTCTTCATTCGGAGTTCAATTTAGCATTTCAGCTTCGAAGACAAGGGCAATTTTGCTGTTTAAAGGGAAAGTGTCCCGATTATGCGCACGCGCGAGTGTCATCTGTTTTTTCTTCAAAAGACAATAGAACTGTCAAATTGACTCGACAAGATTTCCTTCCGGACCGCACCACCGACAGAGATTTGTTGTTTATATTCTCAAGTAATATTTTAGACTTTCAAAGAAGTCTTTCGTCTTATATAAAAATTTGGCTCGCGGTTCGAAGACTTATCGCGATTTTATCGCTAGCTGGGCCGCCTCGCGACCCGAAAATCTCTTTCCGCTCGCTTTTAAAAACATATTCTCTAATTTGAAACTCGTGTCAGAGGTCAGTTGTTCCAAGTCTAGTAATATCTGCCTGATTTGCTCGCGTTCTAGCCTGAAACGTTTGAAAGACATAAATTAAAATGCAATCTCAACGCTATGAATCATCAGAAAGGTTAGTCAAAAATTATATTATGATTTCATGGCACAGCGCCTGTTTGTTTGATTTTGTCGGCCGTTAGGGAGATTCATTTAAAAAAGTTTACTAACACGTCGTTGCAAAACATTCTGCTTCACTAAGCTCCCCTCCACAAGATCTCCTCAGTCACATCAATCATAAATGTCTCAATGGTTTCTTTTTTTTACAGTCTTTATTGTTGCCGTTTCATTTCTGCGTATTCCTTTCACAATTATCTGAGCTTGTATGGAAGCTAGCAGAAGAAATAAGCCTTCAATCGGCATCAAAGTGCTTCCAATCTTTTGGTCCTCCGGCCAACGGCAATAAAAGTAACGCCAAAAAATCCATATTTTGCCCAAATCGAAACTTAACAGGAACAATATATCATTGATCTGTAATCCTGAGAAGTGTGGTATTGAACCCGGTCAAGCGCGATGCAAACGGATTTTTCAAGGTTCTCTTACTCTCCTCGCATCTTTTGATTTCGCGACATCCTGTCCAAAAATCAAAGTTTGGTGCATGCGCAGTAACGGGATACTGTTCCTTAAGATAAAGATTAAGCTTATCGAAACTTTTGAACTAAACGAAAGAATGCAGGAGATGAGATCCACTGAATATCAAGCGACAATCCCGCTAAAATTTTTCATAATTATACATAATTATGCGAATGTTTAGACGATCAACCAATCAAAATCACTACCCGGTTTTCGGGTAGTGAGTGACGTCATTGGACGGTATTTACGGCCAGTCGATTCAGACGTTGTTGAGAGGAGAAAACGACTCGAAGCAATCGGATGAATTTAAGGCTATACAAATTTAAGCTCGCTGTTTGCCGTTAACGTGACTTTAAATTTCTCCTCAGAGAGCGAAATGTCCCCAAATTTACGCAAAACTGACTGGGGTTATTCTTTTTTTTTTCGGGAGGCACTGACAAACATAATTTAGAATAATCTAATTAATACATGAAAAGTTGCCAGACGTTTAATATCAAGGTTTTTCGGTATTAGGGACCTTAGGCAAAGACGTTTTTGAGAGAAGCACGTCAACGTCAACCGGAAGTGCACTTTTTGCATACTTTGGCAGTGGTTTTGCCTAAATTTTCGAGCAAATTGTGTCTATTAGAGTAAAAGAACCGAGCAATAAAAATTTGTTAGCCCGGCTCAAGGAATAATAAAAGGGAGACGTGCGTCGCTCAAAAACGTCTTGCTTAAGCTTCGTGGGAACCACGAACGTTAAGAAGTCACGTGCTCAATGCCTTGCCGTCAGGTTTGCTGTTTGAGGTTCACATTTGTACGGCTAGAACACGCTCCAGGGGTAAATGATTTACCGCAAGGTTTTTTGAACCCTAAACCACCGCAGTGCCACGTAATAACCCGAGGTTATACTACCTTTTAGAACTCTTTCCCTTATATTAATTATTGATTTTTTAAATATATATATATAGAAACACTTTTGAACACAATTTTTGTGCTCATCGAAAACCTTGGTTTTTCGTTTTCAGTAAGATGGCCAAATCTCGATCTAAAGGTGTTTCCAACAGATAAACACTGTTTTCCACTTCTTTCTCCGTATCTACTTATTGGGTGGACAAGCGAAAAAAAAATGAATGAAAGTCAGCTAGTATATTCTGATTGATAAAAACACGATGTACTCACTTGAATTAGCATTTTGTGACGAACTGTAAGACAGCATCAGCGATAGCACAAATAGAAACTTCATCCTTCTGTTAAAGTAAAACGTAATATTCAGTAGTGTTTAGAGGGGCGGGGGGAAGGGGTTAAACAGGATGGATTTTCCTATTTTTGAATTAAAAAATTTACTCTTTTTTTCCATTTTATAAGACAATAACAACGAGCAAAATAATATAAAGTCTTTTTCAAAAGAGTATCATAGGTATAAGGAACAAATTAACAAAAAAATCTGGTCGAAACTTCAATCAAAAAACTGGAGGTGCCAAACGCGAGAAAAACGGAAGTGACCAACTCACGGTCCCCTTTGTGTTACTTTTGCTCGGTTGGAGGAAAACTGGCGGGCGATTCATAAACAAAGCGCAGTGGGAAAAGTACCAAGCAGTGGGCAAAGTTACATGCTAATTATCACGCACGCTGATTCTAGTGGATAATAATTTGTTAACAAGTAGCCAGTCCGGTTTTCGAAGCCTTCACTCAACGGTTACAGCTCTTTTAGAGGCCACTAACTGCTGGACCTATAATATTGACAGTGGCAACGTGAATTCAGTAATATTCTTAGATTTGAAAAAAGCTTTCGATACCGTGGATCACAAGGTTTTGCTATCAAAATTACATGCATACGGGATTCGGGGTGCAGCAGGTAATTGGTTTGAGTCTTATCTGAGTGGTCGAATCCAGCAATGCAGCGTCAATGGCCATCTCTCAAATAGTCGCTCGCTAATATGCGGTATTCCCCAGGGAACAATATTAGGGCCTTTGCTGTTTCTAGTTTATATAAATGACTTGCCCAATTGCCTTGCGCATGCTGAACCACGTATGTATGCTGATGATACACATTTAACCTTCGCAAGTAACAACATGAAAGATATTGAATTTTATCTGAACCAAG